AAGCCCCCAAGGTCTGGAACAGCCTACCATCGGAGGTGGTTTGCACCTACACTGAACACCTTCAAGAGCAAATTGGATGCTTATCTTGCTGGGATACTATGACCCCAGCTGACTTCCTGCCCTTTGGGCGGGGGGCTTGACTCAATGATCTTCCAAGGTCCCTTCCAGCCCTAATGTCTATAAAACCTATGAAATTTTGAAGGCATAGTTTCAAGGTAAACCAAGAAATTAAGCTCTATTCAAAACATTTAAAATAGTGTGGGTAATAAGAGGCATTAAGCACTGCAGCATTTAAGGATCTTTAATTTAAACAGGAAGAGGAGTTGACTATTTTCAAAGAGAAAAGTTAGGGAACCATCTGTGAACATAATGCGACATGCACAGCACAATATTATGGCATCTACTCCCCTTCCCACACATGGGGAAAGCAAGCAAGTTCTCAGACATGCATCCAAATAAATGCTGAGGGAACTCCTAGACAGGGAGGGAAAACACTGAAAATTAATCGAAATATTCATGAGCGAGCAGCTTCCTTGGAAATAAATAACATACTGGGGTCCTGCATTATCACTGAGATGTTAACAACATACTGAAGGGAAGACTATCACAGTCAATTGCTTAATACTCTACTATGAAGTGTGTCCGAATCAGATCCAAGTAGCTTCTTTTGGCAACAAAAAGGGGAATGAAGGACCACATTGTTGGGGCAAGGGATCTTTAAAACATGAATTCAGCTGAATCCTGGATTTCCTCCAGAGAAGTGGAAGGATTACGTACCAAACGATGAGTCTGATTCAACATAGAACAGGGGCAAGTTAAGCTAAATGCTGAACAACTGGAAAGCCAGAACAAGCTGGAGCCCAGACAGGCAGCAGGTTGGGGCAACTGAAGCACTTATTATGGATCGCTTGATAATTTGCATTTATTTTTTCTCCTTTCAGATGGTCTTTGATATTTAACCCTCTTAGGAAACATTTTGGTTAAGCACTGCCAAATACTACAAATTACTCTCTTTGCACCCACTTATGATTCAAGCTTACAGAACCCTTTGTACCAACTGGGCCTTTGAGTTTGGCGTAGAATTACTTCATAAGATGTTTAAGACTAAAAAGAATATAGCCATTTGATATCTGCATTTAATGAACCTATGGCAGTATGTATTGTTGCTAGTGCTGCTACGAGGGAAATCATAAGGCATGGGAGGGGCTGGAGGAACATTCCTAAGTACAGAAAATGTCTTACCAATTTTAAGAAAATAAATGTGAAGCTCTAGGTTGCCAAAGTTTGCATAAAGATCTAAAGCTGAAGAAAGGTATTAATTATTTTGAAATGACTCCTAGTGGTTCTCACCTGGCTCCCCCTTGCCGGTCTTGCTGGGGATAGTGTGGGCATGCAACAAGGTAACAGCTCTGTTAATGGCAGTTGGCAACTCTTCCTGGCACCAGGATTCATCTAATTCACATTCTGGTTTCATCAGGCGTAAGGTCACATGACTCACTAAAATACCTGAATGCGAGAGAATACAAAGTCTTTGAATAAACTAAACAAACACAGAAAATGGAGAAAGCATGTTTCTGATGCAAAGAAAATGCTACCTCAAAACTATGGGCCACTTTTAAATGTGCTTAGGGGGGTGGCGCTTTAAATAGAACGGCTCTCAGAACAGCTCTAATTAAAGCGACACCTCATCTCCTGTATCAGCATCCCCACGCTTCAGAATGGCAGTGAAGGTACTTGAACTAAAGCTTGTTTGACAAGCGTTAGTTTAAGCACCCCCACTGCCATTTTGAAGTGTGGGGATGCTGATACATGTGACACAGGGGGCTACTGGAGTGCAACAATTGCCATGCTCCAGCAGACTTGATTAATCGAGTTCTGACGTGCTGGAAGTCCAGCACATCATGGCAGCCTCCAGGCTTATGTACAGGCACCCATGGACTCCCGTGCAAGCTAAAGAAAGGATGAGAGAAAGGAGTACAGCTCTTTTGTTTAATAAGATGTGTTTGTCCACGTACAGTTCAATCCTGGCTAAGCCAAGAAGGTTTTGTTTAATAAATCCTTACAATTTCTGCATCACAACCACATCTTTGTTTGGTATGAAGACAAACCCTCAGAGTTCTCACATAATTATTGATGACTGACAGTGACAACTATCCAACAGTTGGGCATGATCTGATTTCTAACTAGTACAACTTCACATAAATGTGCTTCCAATTTGACTTTAGCAGACAGCTGTCATGGCAAACTTAATAAGGAGCAAAAAGACAGAATAATGAATAGGCATGGACACTGAACCCCTGCTCCTACAGCATACATATTCCCATTCTAGGCCAGGATAGAAATAAATCTGTGTTCTGAAGGAGAGACAGCGGTGCTTAGAGCTAGCTAACTTTTTTCACATTTGCTTTATACATTCTCAGGCTCAGAGTAAAACATTGACAGCAAGGTAAAGTGCAGATACTAACCAAAAGTTCTCAAGCGAGCAGGCATGACACAGTAAGCTAAGGAAAGAAAAGGGATCTTAATTCTTGGAGCAGCCAGTGGAGATTTAAACAATGGCAAGAAAGAGCCAACAAGACTTGGGATGTACTGGGTCAGGCCAGGAGGGTTTCTCTTCATCACAGTGTTCAGAAGTTCTAATGCTGTTTCCAGTTCACTGTCAAGCTGAAAGAGAAATGATTACAATGGTTACCAGTAAAACAACCTAAGGAAAGGAAGAGGTTTAAGTCTCTGGTGTCTAATGAATGCAACTGTGTTGGTTTCTCTCATGTTTTCATGAAGTTTCATGTTAACCGAGGTAATTTATTCATGTCAGCTATAGCTGTGGCAAAACGATACTGAAAAAACCCACCTCCTGTCCCCAGCCCAGAACTACATGGGACCTAATTTAAACTAAAGTCAGTAACTTGCCTCCTTCAGTCGCTTTCTGATCTGAGACTCCTTCTCCAGCTGTGCATGCACCATCTCCTTCTGTTTGCTCGTCAGCTGCACCTCATCCTTTATTCCTTTCTTCTTCTTTATCTCCTGCAGAACAGAGTCCCTGACATTATTATTTGGGAATTATTAGCATGATCCTTTTCCACTTGGGTTTAGATGCAAGAAAGAGACAATAGGCTCAACTCACAAACAGCTACTGATTCAGACAAGACCAAATTCTTTCAAAGACACACAACTCCTACTCCAAGATGCCGGTGAAAAAGTTGACAATACAGCAGAGAGTCCTATAAGTAGCAAGACATTGGTTTTGCTCAACCTTTGATTTGCTACATATTACAGTGCTCTGGTGAGGGCCTTTGTCTCTTGGACTTCCATTGACTTAAAATGGTAATTGACAGTCCTCAAAATAAATTTATGGAATTTTTCTTCAGACAAATAATGCTTTCGCCCTTGAATATGGCTACCACCTTAACGGGATTTACAACTCGTCCCACGTATTACCAGGAATTATTCTCTCATACAGACAAATAAATAACGTATTAAATGGCTGCTGAGGTTTTAGTTTGGTGGTGCTCACCCTCTGGTCCATAGGAAGATCTGGCCCACAAGGATATGTCATCTGGGCTGAGGGTCTCCCCGTAGGACCAAAAATTTGGCAGCAGGGGAGTGATGGCAGTGTGAATTGCCATTACCCTGATGCCAAATTTCCAGCCCAGTGGAGAGCCCTGCTGGCCATATGGCGAGATCCTGTGTCGACATGTGGTTGGGCCAGCATGAAGTCACTCTGAAGCTGTATCCAGCGCACAGGGTCAGGCCAACATGGTGCCATGCTGACATGCATGGACAGATCCAGTGCACAGGGCCAGACTGGCATGCCAGCTCACCCCCAAAGACCGTTCTCACACTGGATCAGGCCCATGGACCAACCCTGCCACCACTCATCTAGCCTGCAAGGCTAGAAGGTTAAGCACCATTATTTATTCCACCTAACTCCAATGACTATGTTTCACGTTGCTGAGGGTAAATTCACTCTCACTAGTTGTGTTTGAGCTGGTCCCCTTCTGAGCTTGGCCAAAGAGGTCCTCCTATCCTCCCTTACCTTAGCACTTCCCTATGTCCAAGCAGCATTGTTCACTGACTTCTGCAGAATCCAGAAGTGTACTGACTAGGTCTTTGCCATTTAATTCGTTGGCAAGGACCCGGCATTATTATTTGGGTCCTTGTTATTCCCTCACGTATTATTTGCATTAAAGTAGGATCTAAATGCACCAGCTGAGCTTAGACAGAGATGGAACAGAACCCAGGTCATTCAGGTGTCAGACTGGTGTCCACCCAATGAAGTATGTTGTCCTCCTAGTTTCTACTGAAGTACTAACAGGGGATGTTGCCAGAGAGTTGTGCTGTTGTCTTTTTTATGAGATATCCTGGAAGACACCTTGACATTTTCATAAGCACAAAGAAAATCAACCATGATATACTGGACAAAATTCAGTTCAGATGGCTTTATTTTACCTATCCAAATTCCTTTTGAAATTTTTATGACAAACATAGTATTCTTAATTTCCAGCACAATACAGTTCAATTGTGCAATATGCCACTGGATGTTATAAAAGCTAAAATATTTCAATCCAGACGTAGCTGAAGTGACGCTTCATACAGTTTGTAAGTTGGTCAAGTTTATAAACTTTTTGGAAAGGAGGGGTGCTCTAGCTAGGGTATTGAAATCCGATAGCTAGACAGATCAGATACTCATCCTGTTCCTATAGTGAACAGGTAGGTCACTGCTTTCCACATATCAAATAGAAGTCAACCCTTGTAAAAAACAACAAAAAACAATCCCCTCAAAAACCTTTCTAAAACCATAAAACGTATTCTATACCAGGGCTGTCCAACTGGCAGTTTGCAGGTCACATGCAGCCTGCCAGGGGTTAATAAGCAACCCCTGGGTTCCCTCCCAGATGTCACCTCCGCTGTTGCTCCAGCTGCAGCAGAAGCTGGGGTCTTGGGGCTCCCCCTTTACAGCTTCTGCTGCATGCCCCTTTCCCAGGGAGCAGGACCAGGTAGGGTGTGGCAGCGTGGCACAGCCCACAGTGCCAGAGACACCATGGTCCCTGCGGCATGTGGTCCCCGACCATGTAGAAACAGAACAGCCCTATTCTATATAGTCAGAATGGATCTGCAAGTTGCTACCAAAATGCAAGCTTCTTGTGTGATAACGCCTACCAAGAACCTATTAATAGACTGTTATACAATATGCATCTACTAAGAGGTGGGGAGGGAAAAGACCCTTCCACAGACAACACACACTGGTTCCAATGTAAACATGCTCATGTCATTACAAGGGCACATAGTAAGTTGCCACTTACAGCAAGTGTAATAACAGTTGGTATTTAGGCATTCAAAAATTTTACAGAATTTTTGCTACAACATGCATGTGAGCACACATGCACATGAGCGCACACACCTCACACACACCAGATGGATGCAATAAAACAGATGAGCTAACCTGCCCCTTAAAGCCTTCAGCACTGAGTTTTCCTGCAGCCATTATCTCACCTCTTTCAGCTCCAGCTCAATGATTTGCTCCTTGAAGGAATAAGCCTTATTTTCCCTCTTCATGTTGGCCTTTTTCATACTATCCTGCTGAGCACTGAGAAAGGAAAGCATGCAGAGGAATCAGCACACTGAAATGGACCAAGAAGTTTCCTGCTCACAAATCCAGGACATCCCACAGCTACCCAGCTGCTGTCAAACCTCCTTACTAAAGTTTTGGAAGCCACTGAAAACCAGCCTCTGAGTTCCCATTCACATATGGCATCAAGAGCCCTACTTACCTCTGGATAATAGATTTGTCATACAGTTCCCCCTCTGGTGTCTTCATGATGGCATATTCTTCTCGAGTCACATGGTGCAGAGCTGGGTTCTCCATAGTTGGTGAGATGGTGCTGATCAGCTGAGGGAGCACTCTGCCAGGTGAAAGCAGAGAGAGAGATCCCACTGCATTCATGGATGACTACCAAGGAAAAACAACCATGGTCAGTGTTCGAAAAATATATGCCCTGCTGGGCTGACCCAAATGTTCTTTTCCTCTGGGCTACCCTTTTTTAGAGACAGGACTCCTTGGCTGGGGGTTCTGACACCTCACCCAGACTTGGAACTCAGTCTCTGCTTTCACAGAATCTGCTTTCTACAGGAGGAGTTTACCCATTCCTACACATCTTCCCTCTCACCCAGGCCACCGCAGAGACTACTCTGTCTCTTTCTTTCCCTTGTCTCTGTCCCAAGGTCTCTTCAGAGATAGTTCAAGAAAAGCAAAGGCCAATCACCTGGTTCATGGGAGTCTGGGTAGTGATCCTGGGTAGGATTTCATCCAGGTGTTTGGTTATGAAGTCTTTGGGGTCTATCTTCATCCTGATCAGGAGGGTTGGCCAAAGCCCAGACTGCACCACCACTAAAGAGAGGATTATGGGAAGAACACACAGGTATAATAAATGCAAAGCTGACTGCTAAGCAAACTAACCAAACTCCATGGACCACAAGAAACTCTTACTTGAAGGCCACTGCAGGCATCTTGTCCCTTCACTCACCTAAGGAGGGATGATGGCTCACTAGCAGCATCTCCAGTGCTAGTTTTTCTGTCTCAGTAGGATCCACCTCCAGCCCTGCCACACTTGAGATCACACACAGTGTTTCATGAAGGACTCGGGGGGGAACATATGCTTTCCCCAGCTCAGAAAGTTCTCCAGACTCCATCAGCAGAGCTTCAATGGGCAGCACCTTAGCAGACAGCATTTACAATTAGACTGGCAAAGTAAATAAGTCTTCCAGGGCTGTGCTACTCACAATTTTCCCCTAGTACAAATAGTCATATTGGAACCACAGGTAATATACTCCCTTGGAGAACTTTGAGAATCAGCAGATTAAAAGGAAAAGAAGGGATAAATGACCATGCTGTGATCAGAGCCCAGAACTGACAGTGAAGTAAAGGAAAGGGAAACATGAAGGTTATTTTGGATTTTACAAGCAGGAAAAAGAAGGATAAAAAAAAGTCCCCTTCCTAGAGGATGACTCTGGAGAAAGTCACTATAGCAAATAATCCAATTTGTAACTTAAGCCAACATCTTTCAAAAAACAAAACAAAAACAAAACACCAAAACTACGCAACTTGGTTGCGTCTTTGACTTGCGGAGGGGGTGATCAAGGGACTTAGAAGCCCAAGTCCCCTGAAAGTAAGAGGCACTTTTGCAATTTCCACAAGTAGTATTTAGATCTGCAATTCAATCTATTTTCTAAGTATGGTGCCACTCTAGCAATATTTCCCATTGTGCCATTTCGTTTTTTTCTTTTCCTTTACCCTTTTCCTTCTCTGCACAATATGCATATTTCATAATATTTACAGACAATCTGAACAGGACATTGGAGCTGATAGCTATGGCCTGCTACTCGCCAGAAAACTAAGAAACAGAATGTTGGCTCCCCAGCAGAGACTAAGAAAAGAGCAGGTAACTACCAAGGTGAAAGGACACAAGCACATAGGAGGCTGTAGTCTTCATTTCTGCAATGAACCACAGGATAGAAAGTGAATGATTTGAGAGCTTGCAGCTACTGATACAGTCAGCTCTGATAGTGTAGTACAAGTAGCATTATGAGGAAGTCCTTAATATGCAATCACCGAAAAAGTTAAAGTTCTCCTTTTCACATCACATCATGTATCAACACTAACAGCCAGATGCTTTATCAGCAGGAGTTCAGCATACCAATTGAGGGGGACTATATTCCATAATCATTCACCTTATGGGACCTGAGAACTGCTTTCAGCTCCTCCAACAGCCCATAAGCCAGCTTGAACCCTCCAAGAGAGGACAAGAGCTTCCTAACAGCCTGCTGGGCATGTTTTCGAACATGCCAGGTCCGACTCAGCAGTACTGCAACAAGGGCCCGATAATACAGTCTGCAAACAGAAAGAAACAGGTTTGGCAAGACCAGTCAGGCAGTGACCTCAGACACGTAGATACAAAAAGTCCCACCTCCCATGCAAAGTCCCAGCCCCCAGCCCATCGGATGTTAGGACTTCAGGAAATTAACTGTAGGTTGGACTGAACAGATGAGTTCTACGTACTGAACTTTATTTTCAGGGAGTCGCTGTGCATGATCCAAGAGGAGGCGCTCTGTCAGCTGTAAGACTGTATGCATGGCTGAAGAGAGAGATGAGACAATTAACAGAAACAGCACGAGGGCTCGTGGACAGTACACATGAGAACAGCTTATCTAGGAAGAACACCAATCCATCCTTACCTGTTGGGACCCAACTTCTGTGGTTCCCTTGTAAAAGATGACAATACAAAAAGCAAGTGTGACCAAATAGGGTTCCTGATCTGTGTGAGAGGAGCCATTTTCATTTAATAGCTGGGTACAGAACTGAAAAGATCTCACATGGACTGCTGCACTGCCCCTAGTATTGGTAGTTGTCTGATGCAGCTCCAGGCAAATTCAAAAACACAGGTTTTAAGTGGAATTCAAACTGAGAATACATAATGCTCTCCATACAGTAGCCCAGGCTATCTAACTTAATCTAATTTAGACTGTCTTCAGGTTCTCTGCTATCACTAAGCTCTTGTTTTTGCATTATCATATTTACTCAAATAGAAGACAGCTCCCCATTAATTAGATTCTATATATGGAAACTTTATAAATTTGTTATAATTTTCCAGGTATAGAATCTAATTTTTGGAGGTTTGCTTTGAATTCATCCCCTACTACTGCTACAGCAGGGAAACTAAGTCTCAGGGGTCAGGTAGCCCCTTTGCTCTCTGCTTCCACCCAACTTTTTCCCCTGGCAGCCCTTTCCTTACTGAGAGACCCTGCCCTCCCTGAGCACATGGAAGTTAAGAGCAAATCTGAAAACAATAGCCTTGAAATTATACAGCTATAGCAATTTGTATATAATACCCATATACTTAGTTCAGCAAAAATTAATACATGCTATTTTTTGAAGCTGTTGCAAGTTCTAGCACAGGTATTCCAGAAACACACTTTTAAGCAGCACTTTTGTACCTGCTTAGACACAGTACAATCTTGTTTGAGGCCAAATCAGTTCCAAATTCAATTGGACAAAGCCCAACAGTCAAGTTCCAAAATCTGACTAAGCAGAACTCAGTTGTTAAGCTTGTACGGCTCTACCACCAAGCAAGTATCCTCCCTCCCAGACCCAGTGGGCTGGGGCCTGGGATACTCCCAAAATTCAGGCAAGTATCCTATGTGCAAGCCCCAAGCCCAGGTGTTTAGATATGATCTGAAGAGAAACTTTTTAAATTAAATTTGTATCCAAGGCCAAATTAGCCAAAACTAATTCCAAATCCAAGAGTCCAGAACCATAACTGACCCTACTACCGGGAAATATCCTCCACCCACACCTGGGGCTTCAGATGTTTCCAAATCCATTGGCAGGCATCCTACTTGCAGGCCCAAGCCCAGGGGCTTGGGGTTTGGATGCCCCCAAGTTTTGCTTGCCCTTAGCCATAAGGCCCTCGGAGCAAGCACTTGTCACTTCTGCTGTCCAGTCTCACATAATCTTACCCAAAGACATGATTTACTGTATAGTTCATTGGGCTTGGCTCCACCAAAGTCA